CTATATGAATGTTTGGCATTAAAAAAAAAACACCTAAAACTCTAAAATGACTTTTAAAATAGGTCATTGTGGGGGCTGGCCCCGTGGCTTAGCAGCTAAGTGCGCGCGCTCCACTACTGGCGGCCCGGGTTCGGATCCTGGGTGCGCACCGACGCACTGCTTGTCCGGCCCTGCTGAGGCCGCGTCCCACACACAGCAACTAGAAGGATGTGCAACTATGACATACAACTATCTACTGGGGCTTTGGGGAGAAAAAGGGGAAAAAAAAAAAGGTCATTGTGTCATGTAAGCCTCAGGCTCTGGGCACTCTCCACTTTAGGGATGACCGGGTCGGTGGCACTCTCAGGGCTGGAGGGCCACCAGGGAGGTTCCCCTCCCACAGGCGCCTTCCTGACTGCCAAAGGGGCTCTCGGCAGCAGAGGGCCCTGCCAAGCTGGGACCAACTTCCTCATGGGGCAGGGCCCCTGGGGAGCTGCCTAGGAAGTTGCATTAGCAGGATTCCTGTAAAGTGGCTCTAAGGGACTTGCCTGTCATTTCTGTGTCATGCCCACTGAGGGCCTACGGAGAATTCGGGTACTGGCTGGTAGCTTTGGTGTTAGTGCCGTTGAGTGGATTCCAACTCCTAGTGACCCTGTGTACAGCAGAGTGGAACCCTGCTGGTCTGTGCCATCTTCTCACCTTCCAGTGCTGTATCAGGCAATGCGTCACTGCTGTTCACAGGGTTTTCATGGCCATTTTTTTCAGAAATGGGTGGCTAGGTCCTCCTTCCTAGTCTGTCCTTGTCTGGAAGCTCCGCTGAAACCTGTCCACCATGCGTGACTCTACTGGTGTTTGAAATCCTGGTGGCAGAGCTTTCAGCATCCCAGCAACACGCAGCCACCACAGTATGACAACCAACAGACGGGTGGTGTGGCGTCCTAACCAGAAGTGAACCTGGGCTGCAGCGGTGAGGGCACCGAATCTTAGCCGCTAGACCACCAGGGCTGGCTACAGCTGGTAGCTAGCAATCTATAAACCAGATGCGAAAATAAGTTATTCCCTTTCTTCTTGAGTGGATGGAAATTTCTAAATAAAACTAATGTGGTTGGGGGGGGGAGCACATCAGGAAACTCTTGGACAAAGGCAACCGTCATCCTTTGGTATTTGTTCATTTATTCACTCACTAAATGTTTCCTGAGTACTTATTATCTGCCAGCCCCTGGGGCTCCAGTGAGGAACAAGACATACGTGGTCCCTGCCCTTCAGGAAGCTCCATTCTAGAGGTGGAATTTAAACCAGGACACCCAGGGTCCACCATAGATACTCCCAGAGGCATATGCTTTACAGGGACATTGGAGTCAGGTTGACCTGGGTTAAAATCCAACTCTCCTACCTATAGCCTCGCGACCGAGAGGCATTGCAGCCCTTCTGTGCTGCAGTCTCTAACCTCCTATGCTGCCAGCTGTGGAGTGGACTAGGACAGCAGCTACGACTCATAAATGGTAGTTATTTTGTTTTCTTAAAAGCAAAGTAACTGTCTAGAACAGTCCTGACCCGCATAACTGACCGTGATGACGGAAATGTTCTATGTCTTGCGCTGTCCAATACGGTAGCCACTAGTCACATGTGACTTCACGCTGAAACTGAGGAATGAAATTTTTAATAGCTACAGTGGCTAGTTAGTCATCGTACTGGACAGTGCGGGCAGGGCTAGGAGACTGTCAGATCCAGGTGAGGCAGACGATGCAGCAGGTAAACAAGAGGAGCTGGGAAAGGGGAGCGACAGGACGCTGCAGAAGCGTGGCTGGATTGCGAGATGAGCTCCGAACGGCTGGGAGTGGCAGGAGCAGGTGGTGCAAGGCTAGAGCTGTGCGTGGTTTTCAAGTAGGGGAGGAAAGGAGAACCTGGCCCAGGAGGTAGGCTAAACGAAAGGCAGAGACAAGAGGCACGTATTGTTCCACTACATTTATATGACATGTCCGGAACAGGCAAATCTACAGAGCAGAAAGATGAGCCGTTGCCAGGGGCTGGGAAGAGGGGTGACGGGTGAAGGGTAGTGACTGCTAAGGAGTATGGGGCTTCTTGAGGGGTGATGAGAATGTTCTAAAATTAGGTTGTGGTGATGGTTGCACAACGCTAAGAACCAATGACTTGTCTGTTTTAAGTGGGTGAATCGTACAGTATGTGAATTACATCTCAATCAAGCGGTTTAAAAACACCAAAACCTCAGGAGGCCTCAGGTCAGTGGGACCCCCACAGGGAGGGTGGGGATAGAGGCAGGGCCGAAGTCCTGTAGACTTGGCTACAGGGGTGTCTGGATGACCCTTCCCAGTTGAGATGTGTTAATTTCCCCTTCTAAGACTCTCAGATTAAAAAAAAACAAAAGCCCTCCCTACAGCTGGAGCCTTTATCAGTAGAGAAAGTCAATGTACGCAAAAGAAATTAAATACCAGATGGTGAGGGTTAGAAAGGACTCCTGAGAGAAGGAAGTGCTTGAAAAACGCAGAAGGTGCAGGCCAAAGCCATCTATGATCCCTCCTGGAAGGGCAATGTCATGAGACATTATTTTGACATTCTCAGAGGTAAAGAGACAAACCTGGTCTTCCATTTCCTTCCCAATATTGGGCTTTTCTTCATCAGGGACTGAGATGCTCAGGTGAGCACAGCATGTAAGGTACCCGGGAGAGTCAGGGAAGCTGTGTGCTGACCCAGAAAGTCGGTGCAGAGGCTGCCTCTGCAGTAAGCCGGGAACCAGGAGTGTGGCAAAAATTAGGTGCTGAAGAATCTATTCAAAAATAAAAGGTGACTGCATGTGGGTTTTTTAAAAGAACACAAACAGTTTAATTAAGATACAGCTATATGATTATAAAGAGGCACAAGCCTACATTTCTTTAAAAGGTCAAAAACAGTACCTTGGGAATATTCCCTTTCTTATAACTTTTAAAGAGAAACAATAGCCTTTAAGTATGACGTTACATTGGAAGATGTTCAAGTTGTACTTAACATTCTATTTTTATATCAAGTTCTATCTCTGGAACACAGAGGAGTCCTAAGGCAAAGACCTAAAGAGAAGATCTACCATCTTGACCTTGAGCTATAGGAAATATGTACAAGATGGGCGAGAACTTCAGGTTCAACTACCCTCTAATTACAGAAGAAACAGGTCCGGGAACGGAGTCCCTGGAGGAAGCTTGGATCTCCATCCTGGCCCAATTTTCCAAAGTGTGAAATGCAGATCTCTCTGAGAAGGCACCCAATGGATATTTTATATATATTGATGGTTATGTAACTTAATGTGTATTTTAAAACATATCATTAGGATATCAAACTTGTAATTTCACAAATATTAATGGTCAGAATGAGGTGAAGTTGAAAAAGGTGCATTTCAAGTTGATTTAAAACATTAGGTAGTGATGGTTGTACAACATTGTGAATGTAGTAATGCCACTGAACTGTCCATTTAAAAATGATTAAAACAGAAAATTTCATTACATGTATTTAACCACAATGAAAAGAACTGAAATAAACACCAGGTAAATAGTTTAGGTGGTACCAGATCCAGGAAAGCACTGAGTGGCAGGAGTGACGTTTAGGAAGCACTCCAGTCCTCACAGGAAGGGGCACCTCGCAGGAGCATGCTGGCCAATTCTTTGGGAGCACTGATTTAAGAGCGAACCCCTTACACACAGAGACAGCAGCTCTCAGGAGGGCAAAGCTGCAGTGATTCACCACTGGAGGGAGCCACGAGAGTTGCAGGGTCCCCAACTCCTCTTCACGAGAGCCTGGAGGACAGCGTGTGATGGGACTGCACAGGTTAGCTAATGCACATTTATTTGCCTTTCCTGAGTTATTTCTCCTCAGTAATGGTTAAGAGAAAGGGCTCGGGAGTCAGGCAGACCTGGTTTGATGCTCAGTGCGCAGCACTTTCTAGTAGGCAACTCAATTTCTTTTAAACTCAGATTGCTCATTTGCAAAATGGGATGGGGACAGTAGCTCCCTCTCAGAGATGTTATGAAGACTGGAACATAGAATGTGTTATCAAGTGTTTCCCACAGCACTTGGATCGTAATAAACTATCAATGAACATTAGCTAGTATAACTACTACATATTAATACAAAGTTCTGATTTTTAATGAATACAATTGAGGAAGCAATATTCCCAAATTTATTTGTCTTCAGAACCCCTACTTCACAGAACATTTCATGGGCTAGTACTCAGTCCAACCCCACTGGGAAACGCTAGTCTAGACACCCCACGTAGGGGGACTCTGATGAGAAGGTTGAGGCCAGGCCCACCCACAGGCCTGTGCTGGCTGCACCCTCTAGACAGGCACCTGCTTCACAAGGGCTGGCCTCCTAGAGGTGAGGGGATGGCAGTGGCAGCAAAGGAGCAGACAAGCTTATACTTCAGCCAGAGGGCCTAAGACTCCCGGCCCAGTGGCTGAACCTGCAGTTCGCAGAGGTCTGAGGAGGGCCAGGTGTACGGCCTCACTCACCTGGAGAGTGATCTAGAACTACTGACTAGTAAGCCCAAGGAATCTTAGAGACGCCCTTCTGTGACCCTGTTCTGAGGTCAGAATGAGGAGGCAAGGAGCTGAACCACTCTGGGCTGGTGCGTTAAAGGCCAAGAGAGGACGAGGCCCACACTCTGAGGCTCCGTGCCGGTCAGCTGCCTCCCCGGGCACAGGACCTCTGCAGCCTAGGGAAGGGACTTGCACTCTCACGTCTGAGCAGATGTGGCAGTCGCTACTGAGAACAGAAGCAGCATAAAAATTAAAGCTGCCAAAAAAGTCTTCAGGTGCTTCCACAGCGGCAGGGATGTTGCAGAGGAAGAGAGGATGATGGCAAAGGCAGTTTTCTGGGAAAGATTACGTTCTTTCAGGAGCCTCTAGTGCACACCAACAGGCACATCCCAATGAAACCTTACCAGGGTGCCCACCCCTTCTTCAGGAATGCCACCAACCCCACCAGCCCCCAGGACCCACTGCCCACCCCCACAATCAATAACTCTGAAGACAACATCAGTTCTTCTCAAACAGTTTAATAGCAAATAAACAAAGGAAGGTACCACACTTGGCAGATACAAAATGACTTTTTGTCCGTGTGTCTGTGCAATTAAAACAGATTTAGGTTCCCCATTGGGACAAAAGGAAAAACACAAAAAAAAAGGAAGGAGATTCCTTTTAAACACATACTCCCTTGCTCCAAACTTGTAACAATTTTTTTTTCTTTTTTAATCCACTACACAAACTCTGTGATCAGGTCAGAAGAGCGACAAGGGCTCTTCTTGCCTTTTTTTTTTTTTTAAACCATTAAAGTAAAATCCATAATTTTCTACATAGTACAACACAAGTTCACACAAAAAGACATTTTCTTTTGCAAATCAAAACAGGAAAGAAAGAAAAGCTCAAACAAGGTAAAGGAAAAGCATTTCTACGGCTGAATCACGACTTTGAGTTGATTGAATCCCGTTGTTGCTGCAGAACAGACTGTGCGTTTGGTCATAGTGGCAATTTTTTTCTCTTCACATTGTGAAATCACTTTACATCGTTTTCTAGTAGAAAAGGCAAAAAACTGTACAAAACCCCTAGTGTTAAATACAACGTTTGTACCAATAAAAAACTCACACAGGTTTGTCTCCAAAATGTAAAGTTTCTTTTTTTTTTCTTTTTAAATTATTCACAAAAAGCAGCTGGAAATCAGAAAGGCAGCTGCCGCTCCAGGGTCTCAAATCCATTAAAACCACCACAGAACAATTAAAACAATCAGAGAGAGAAAATGAAACAACGTCCAACGTTTGGCATTTGGTTTTATCCACAGGTTTTCCCAGAGCTCCTCTTGGAATTGAAAGCAAAATGTATTGGCAAACACGGATTCTGAACACACAGGAAGGAAGCCTCAGCGCCTTCTGCCAAGAGAGGTGGCTCTGTGCAGTCAGACTGTGGGGTGCACGGCAGTCTCGCTCAGGCTGGGGTTCCTGGCCTCTTTCCATCCAATCACCCCTTCCAGGAAATTAAGCAGCCTACCATACACTGGGCCTTCATGTGGCCGCCTTTCCTCCTAGGAAGAGTGGCCTCAAGCATAACACTAGGCAACCCGCTGGGTCTCAGAGCAGAAGTTCTGCTGGGAGCCCTTCCTTCATCACCCCTGGCATGGATGATGCTAACAGTGCTTCTACCTTCCCCACCCCCCTCCCCCCAGTCCCTCGGCTACCCTCTCCACCCTTCCCTGGACAATCCTACTTCCCAGCTCTCCCACCCACCAGCAGCTTAGGTGTGGGTGGGGACTACCTCAAACTCCTCCTCTGCAACCTCTTACCTCCCCAGATCCATCCTGTGACCTCTCATCTCCTGGCCTCTCCCTCCACCATTCACATTCTTACTCAAGTCCCTAAGACCCTGAGGCTGGATGGTGCCGCACGAGAGGAGAGCAAGTTCCCCTCAGGGAACCAAGGAACTGGCTTGCCTGGCACCCAGGGACAGTAGCTATTTGGCTCTTCACCCAATTTAAAAAAACAAATCCCGCCCTCACCCCCACCCCACTAGCTAAGCAAGAGCAGAGCTGTGGTGAAGAGCCAGTGTGGGGTGGGTGGTGCCCAGGGCTGTAAACAGTGTGAAGACTGTAGTATTGTGCTTGTCACCTAGGAAAAGCGCTGGCAGGTGTATTGCCGCTTAGTGCACAGATGGCCTCCTCCGAGTGGTTAAGAGCACCCTCCTTCTTCTGGGCCGAGGGATGCTCACTACCCCTAACTTGCTAAGCCTCTTGCCCACCCACAGCCACCTTCTGGGTTCTATCTCTGCTCCTCGTGCCTCTCTGGGCCGGCTTCCTACCCACCTCTGAGCAGAGCAGCCAGCCTCCCGGAGGCCCCACTGAGGCCTGGAGGCCACATGAGGTGACAGTCTAAGTGCACAGGCAAACGCTCTAAGGGCAATAGAGGAGAAAGTTGCCACTTCAAAATAAAACAATACAATCTGGAAAAAAATAATCAACCCCACAACAATTTAAAACAGCTTCTTTGAAACCCTTTTAAATCGGTCAGTTTTTGCACAAACTATAGAAAACAGAGAGGTGAAGGTGGTATATACGAAGGTGTGAAGAAACAGCAGGAAACATGCAAAACTTGTTTTTTCTGGGCATAATCTTAGTAGGAAAGGAAAAAATTCAAAACAAAAACACAAAAACAATACAAAAACAAAAAAATCAAAGCATCACATTTTGCTGTGGAGACTGTAGGAACAAGCATGGAGAGGGGCCGAGGGGAAGGGGCCAGAGGAATCTGAAGGCTCCCTGCAGGGTCGCTACAGGGAAGAACCACAAAAGAAAAAGGAAAAGGGCTGGCTGGGGCCCAAACTGCAGCTTGCGGTCAAAAAAGAAAGGGGGTTCAGGTGTTTTCTGCAGTTGAGAACTCAGAAAAACAAAAGAAAGAACACATGCGGCCTGGCCTCCTCAAGCCCCACAAACTATATCAGCAAAATGTGCTCAGGAGCCTCAAAGGTTTTAGTGACATCTTTTATTTCATTGTTTACTTCAAAGTTGTCTTTAAAACTAAGCACACAGAGAAACAAAGCCTAGAAACGGACTGGCTGTGTGTTCACAGAAATACAAACACCACGCGGTATGTGCTAGTAGGGCTGCTCTGAAGACAATTACAAAGAATTGGAATCACAAAATCAAGTGGTTATCTTATGAAGTTCTAGAAAAATAGATTTTTTTATATTCAAATGCAAGTTTAAATATTTCCCCTTCAGCAGTCGTTCTAGCAAAACCAATTTGGCAGCACAAAAGAAAAAAAAAGGAAAGAAAAAAGAAAAAACAAAGAAAGAAACAAACATAATAAAAATACACGTCAGCATCAAAGGTCAACACAAGGTCAAAGGTGAGAGTTCAAGCATCAGAGAAGCTGAAGAGACAGGGATTTGGACGATGTACTTGACGCCACATCGACATGCTTTAGGCACAACGATGAACTAACGGCAGGAATCTAGAAAAAAAAACAAACCAGAAAGAGGGAGACCCACTGAGTTACACAGAGCAATACATCCAAACGAAGAGAGAGAGAACAGGAACACTCACTGTGTACAGCCCTGAAATGAGCAGGCGGCGGGGCAGGGCTGGGTAATGACAGGGAACTTTCGCACATGCTAACAATGGACACAGGGAGAAGTCAAAAAGGACATGGAGGACACCAAGAAAACATCCAACTGCCAGAGACAGAGGAACCTAAGGCTTGGATTTCCCCTGAGGGCCAAACACCTCTGAGAAGAAGGTCTCCGGTGGAGCAGAGCCTCGGCCTCTCTCCCCACTCCCTGGTCAAGACCCAGGGAGAAAATAAAAGATGCTGTGGGGGGGGGGGGGGTTCTTTAGGGGAGAGGGCCAGGATTTCTCCTCAATCCTATGGGGATGGTCCTTTGTTCCCAGAAATCCAAGCTCTTAGCTTCCACGCAGGCCCCGGCCACTCATGTGGGACCCAGGAGACAGTGTCTGGCTGCATTCAAGGCAAATCAATCGCATGATGAAACCCAAGTAAGAAACAAAACTACAGCAGGAAACACATTTATGTAAGTGAAACCCCCACACAACAGAAAAGGATTGCTTAAGACTTGACTGCGAGTCTCCACTCTCCGAGCTGAACCCTTTCACACCGTGAGACTTGTCGGGGAGCAGCTTCTTCACAACACCATCTTTGGCCTGGGGAGAGAACTGTGCTCAAGGGCAGTGCTGCTGTGCTCACTCACCAGGCAGGGAGAAGAGAACAGAAAGAAGCGCCTGGTCTCACCAGCTGGCCGCTGCGGCAGCCCAGGGCCCCGCTGCGGCACACGCTCCTTTTAGAAAGAGAAGCCACGAGCAGGGGTGAAACCTCGGGGGCTGGTATCAAAGGTGGGTTGACTGCACCTCTGCCTTTCATGTCAATCGGAAAGGGGTTTCATAAGGTCCCAGAGCCCAGGACAAACCCGTGGACAAATGACAGCGAAATGAGGGAGGCGGGAGAGAAAGGAGTTCTGGGCTTGGAAAACCCCACGATGGCCAAGGAGGAAGACAGAACAGAAGGTTAGCAATCCCCACACCGGCAGCACCCTGGGGAGCACAGCTCTCTCCTCTGCCAATTCACAGCATTAACTCCTTCCCCCTCTGGCAGATTAGCTGGGCTGCAAACAGGCCACAGAAAGTCAGTAGTTTCAATCATACACAGCACCCTGTGTGTACAACAATCACATTCTGGATTCTACAAAATCCTGGCCTTTTCCAGAGATATAATTTAGGTAATAAATATTCTCCACCCCGGAGCTGTATAAAACTTCTATAAAAATAGAAACGACATTCTTGGTTCCAGCCGGTTGGGATTCAGAACAGCGCCTCCCCAACCTAGCATTTTTTTCTTTTTTTGTTTTCTTTTTTCTTTTTTATTTTTATTTTTTGCATTTATTTAAAAAAATCCCATCATGACCCTGGAAGCCTTTGGAACAGTTTTATCCTTGAAACACAGGACACATTTCTCCCAGTGCGCGGAATTCAAGTTTATGTGGTTCAGCTTAAGAAGTATGTTTCATGTTTCTTAGAGGACAACAGACCCAAGTTATCACTATGAGAAGGGAACAGCTGTCCCAGCTTCAGTGGGATAATCCAACACCACCAACTACCTATACAACAGCACGATGGTCAATCCCTGTCTGTGACCTAAATGGACAGCATGACAGGGAGAGAGCCCCCATTCAACTTAATAGCGAACCAACCCCTTTAATCTCATCTCTGCTGCTAGGGGTCAGGACTGATGTTTGTGAGGTTTAAGATCCCAGGGACCCAGTCCCTGGCCTTGGCTAAGAGTCATATCCTAACAGGGCTACATCTGCCCAGGTGCACATTCCCAAGAGCATGTCCCTTCTGGCTCTCCATCCCCACTGCATTTCTTGAAGCAGAGGCAGAGCCCAGAGACTGTGTGGGTCACAGGCAAGAGCTGGAGTGGGACCTGTGCAAGGCAGCAGGGAGCTCACTGTAAGCACGAGGACAAAAATGAACACAGTAATACTGAGGTAAATGAACACTGAATCCATGTGGATGCTGTAAACGTCCTGCTGTCTCCCCCGTCCCCAAGAGCAGAAGACGGGCTGGAGTGGTTAGAAGAGTGTCTTGCCTTGGTGGGAACACTACATCTGGGACACCTCAACCAAGGAGGCAAGCGTGGATTTCTCAATCCTTCTAAGTACTAAGTGCCGGCCACTGGCAAATGCAGCACTCTGGCTTAAAGGGACCTTCTGACTCAGGTACACCAAGGAGCAGGCTCCTCCTCCCCCAACTCGATGGCTTTTGATCACTCTGATCTGGAGAGATGGCCCCTTCAGCTAGACACTATAAGCCTTTCTGAGATCTACCCTCATGAGAAAACTGTGGTTAGGGATGGAAGTGACACTCCTTCCTGTGGGCAACTACAAGGAAGGAAACCAAACAGTGCCTTCCCTAGAGGCCTTCTTTAAAGGGACCTGTTAGAAATGGGCCAGGGTCTAATCATCTGGTGTTGAAATAAAAGCAACCTCTTTGACCAGCTGCTTCTTCCTGAAAGCCACCAGGCAGGCAGGGCCAATCCAACACCAATGGCTGGCTAGGAAAGCTGGTAATGGGTGACGTCTCCCTGCTTTTTGCAAATATCAGGCTAATTTAACAGGTGCTTTGTTTCCAGAGCATTGTTAGCCCCTTCTTGGGAAAGAGGGGCAGAAATCCTGGACAAGAATCTGAAACACAGGTGGTAACAACTCAGTATTTCCAGAGAAAGCAGCTATGGAGGAGTTTCAGCCTCCAGTCCCCAGGGCTGTTGGGTGTCAAGTCACTCTCGCTCTCCTCCAAAGCCACCCCCACCCGTTCCACCCCCACAGCTCTTGGACGTCAGTTCTCATCTCGCCCACTCTCACACTTGGGGAGATTCTGGGGGTCAGTTTTTGGTTTCACTCAGTCCTCTCTCTTGGGGTAGTTTGGGGCAAGTTCTGATCTTTTTAAATGTTTCTCCATTCCCCCTCCTCCCCCAGGGTGGTTTGATGTTGGTCCTTCTCAACACACACTGGTTACAAACACAGCAAACTTTAAATAAAGAAAAAAACTCAGGATATGGCACCTAAACTCCAAAGTAAAACACTGGAAACCAAAGCACAAACTCGTCCTCTGTACGAAGCGAAACTCCCACAGAAGGCAGTAGCCGAGTCTTCAGGGCAAGCTGTGCCTGCGAGAGTGGCAGGGATCAGGGTCCAGGGCTGTCAACACACAGCCTTAGGGCTTCGAAACATTAAGGGTGCTCCTCCCTCACTTACCAGAAGACCCTCTCACTCCAGTCTCAGAGGGGAGCACGCTCAGTAGGGCTTGCTGTCATTCTTCGAACGTTTGAGCTGCACTTTAAGCCGCTTCATGCCAATCTGAAAGCCGTTCATGGACTGGATGGCAGCTTGAGCCGAAACAGGATTGTCATAACTTACAAAACCTGCGTGTCCAAGAGGAAACCCAGCTGAGGGACGCAATGAGGCAAGGAGATTCTCAGTCCTCCTTACGCAACAACTACCTGATGGGCTTAGTCTCAGATCCCAATTTTTCTCAGCAGGGACAAGAATTCTGGAAATTATGTCACATGAAATAAATTAGGTTCCTAACAGTACCACTTGCCATCTGCATGGTACTTTAAAGTTTTTGGCCAAGCCATCTTCCATACATTATTTTTACCCCTGGAGCGACAGTGTAGGTAGAAATCATCATTCCTACTACAGAAATGAAAACACTGAGGCTCAAAAAGAGGTCATGTAATCTGCCCAAGACTGAGGTAAAAAATAACCCACACTCAAATCCAGCTCCTTCTGCTATCAGCCCCTTCTCTTTCATTCTCCTTGGTAAAAGTACTTAAATCCCGACACCAGAAGAGAAGCCAACATACCAAAACACTTGCTCAGGTTTGTCTGCTTGTCTATAAAAACCTTGGCAGACACGACATTCCCAAAGGGCATAAACATCTGCAGCAGGTCCTGATCTCCAAACTCCTGGGGCAGGTGGTAGATGAACAGGTTGGCTCCCTCTGGACCTTTAAAATACGCAGTGATTGAAAAGTGTCAGTGACAAGCACACTCACCAGCCCCCACAACTGTCTCCATTTCCACCTGTGGTAAAACTGTCAGCACTGCAACAGCTTCTCCAAACACAAATACAAAGCAGGGACGTGAAGGGAAATCACTGAAAAAGACTCCTTCCTTTATGTTTAGCCATGCTCCGTCTCATTGAGGGAAATTAGAATTTAACCTTGTGGGAGGAGGGTGTGCTGGGACAATAAAATAGGCAGACTTGTGCGTGGAGCAATAAAACCAGAGACTAGACGCTTGTAAAGGAACACAGAAAAGGAGGTACAAAGAGATTATAAACAAAATCGGTTTCAAAATTGTGTCTTCAAACTATAGGGACAGCAAAGAGATTGGCAGTTGCCAGAGGGAGGAGGTGGGGTCTGGGAATGACCACAAAGGGACATGAGGGAATATCTGAAAGTGATGGAAATGCTTCATATCTATGGTGGTGGGTACACACTGTATGTGTTCATCAAAGCTCACAGAGCTATATTTCAAAAAGGGTGAATTTCACCATATGCAAATTGTGTTTCAGTAAAAAGAAATTACATTTAAAAAATGTGCCTATGATTAACTCTGAGCTCAAAAATAGCATATGCTTTCCTCTTCCAACCACTTACACTCAACGATTTTCTAACCAAAGAATAGTTTTATTACAATCGCAATCCAGCCATTCTCCAGCTACCTTGGGCCGCCTGCTGCTGTCAAAGACATTAGGGAAGACTGCTGCCTCAGGGTCTTTGTACCCGCTGCTCCTCTGGCCCATTACTCTTCTTCCTCTAGATATATGCATGGCTGGCTTCCTTACTTCCTTCAGGTCTCTGCTTAAACATCAACTTAGACCTTCTCTGACCATTCCATATAAAATGTTGTACCTCCAGCACTCCCTATCCCTCTTTCTAGGATCATTCTTTAGAGCATCATTTAGAACACCTCATGCTTTTACTTGTTTATTGTCTTTCTCCACAGTTCCATCGGTTCCCCCAGTACCACCTCCTAGGGTACATAAGCATCTGATTCAGAGGAGGTGAGGATGTACTAGACCAGGACTCCTTGCTGCTATGGCAAGAGAGCATACTTGTCTTCTTCCTGCATTAGTGCTTAAACCCTGCCAGCTCCTGGTTATAAAAACCAGTCAAATATGAATACAGAGGTGTTAGCAGGACTTTCTATTCATACAAATCACCTTTAGGCCTCTGTCTGCCTAGCAAGCCTCTCCTGAATTTAATACCATTTATGTCAAAGCACATACTTCCCAATCCTTCAACCCAGGGGCCATAACTCTTTCTGTCCCAACACTCTTCAGTATGTCCTCAATTAGGAAAAGCACAGATCAGAAAGTGAGGAAGATGCCAAATGATATAGCTAAAAGGGACACCCAGACAGAAGACATCCCTTGACAGATTTATAATCCACAGAGAAGACTTCCTAACAAAAACAGATTGTCAAATGGTGTCAGACACAATAAGGTCAGTATGTTTCATCTAAAAACTACAGCCCCATCCCAGGAGGGCGTACAGAGGTTCTGACCTGGGCGACACCCAGAACACATTCCAACAGCAGATCACATCTGACAGTTTCTCAGTCTACCCGTGATACTGCCAAAGAAAAGCGTTGGCCTGACCACCGAGACGGTTCTCTTGGCCTTTGCCCTGCCTCTCAGCCGGTCCTGACTCCAGTCTCCCTTTGCACTCACCTTCCTTCTGGCTTCCCGCAGCACCAATACTTTGCTGGGTCAACAGATTCTGGTTGTACAGAGTGGGGAGCGCAGCGGCAGCATATTGCTGGATCCCCGAGTAGGCCTGCGTGAGGGCCTCCATGGTGCTCCCAGTGCCGTTGGAAAGGCCGCTGCTGCCCAGGCCACCATTTAAGGCAGCCATCCCTTGGTTGGGTGGAAGAGCAGGGTTAACAGACTGGAAAGATTCGACTGATTCCAAAGACGAACTTGAAAATTCTCCCTCTCATCTCCCCCTTAGCTCCTCCCTGAGGAGGAGTACCCATCTGGCTGGTTAGATTTCAGGACACTCACCAGGCCTTGCTGCTAACGGAGACATTAAAAAAATGCCACACCAGGTATGGCTCTCCCCATTACCTTCTTCCAACCCGTGCAAGCGGTGATACCACTTACACATGACTTGCCTCATTTCCTCTGCCTTTTCTGCCCCTTTCTCACACAGAGCTGGAACGTGGACTCCTATCATCAAAACAGCAGCTAACATTTACTGAGCACATCCTATGTGCCAGACACCATACTAAGCAATGTGCTCAGCACTTGACCTATGTTCTCATTTCACTTCTCAACAACTCTCAACGGATTCTATTCCCACTTCACAGATGAGAAAACGACCTTAGAAAGGTGGGTGAAAGTTACAGCTAGTTAAAGGGCAGAGGTGGGATTTAACCCAGGTCTGACTCGAAATCCCATGATTATTTCTCACTTCACTGGCCTACCCCAATCATTCTAACAGTGCCCCTACCAGGGTTGTTTAAAATGTGCTACCTGCACAAACAATGGCCTGATGACATCCAGGGGCTGCCCCTCACCTGCCAAAGAGCTGACGTTGAGGCCTGCCGTTGCTCCAGCTAATGTCTGCAGGGCTCCGAGGGAGGCGATGGGGTTGACAGAGCTGCTGCTGCTGGAGCTTGGTGAGGACCCTGCTACCAGAAATCCACGAGTTAAACTCAAGCCAACACTTGCCTTCTCATGTCCACAGGAACCAAAGCACAAGAGTGACGCTACTCAAGTATTCTCTTTGTAAAGAGGTTTTCAGTTATTGATTTTTGATAACTGTCCCTGCAGGACATAGAGTCAAATGATGGTTACAACAAACTAAAAATTATGAGATTTCTCTTAAGTCAGAAGATGGCATTTGAAAATTTATTGTTTACAATCTGATCTCTTTGGATCTCCAGAATGACATACCCCTCTCTTGGGATTCTGCCCAAGGCACAAGGGCACACTGGCCCTATTACACGCTTACCTGAACTGGTGAGTACGCTGAGGGGGCTGCTGGATGTAGTGAGAGCATTGGTACCACTGGGTGTGTTCTGAGCTGCGCTAGCTGCAGCAGCTAGTGCAGCCAAATTCTGTAACTGCATTGCATTTAACCCTGCAACATCCAAAGCAAGAGATCAGCCAGCAGATAAGGGTGTCTCATCTCCACTCCAGCAATGACAGTGCACGCAGCAGAAGGCTGGTCCCAAAGAGGAACTGTTGTAGATAAGCCTTAAAAACATTCCTATAGGGCTCCAAAGAGATTCAGACATCACTCAACTCATTAAGAAACTTGATACCGCTTCCTCAGAGAAGACATCTAATCCAATAGCATGCCACCCCATGTGAGCACTGATAAAGGGATGGGCAATCAGGAAACCAGGAAAGAGGGGTAAGTCTGTGGTCTATCATGGGGCCAGCTGTCCAAGAGAACAACAATGCCAAAACCTGCGGCACAGAACAGGGACTGCAACCGAGCCCCTCACTCATACGTTACAGGGCATTTTCTCCTTGCAATGAAGTGAACGAGCAGAAAACGTAGCAGAAGTCCAGAAGGCCACGGGAGGAACAACAGGGGAGAATACGACTAAGAACAGCAATGGGAGAAAGAATAAAGGAAAAAACCACCACTTGAATAGCAAGCAGATTAATCATCAGACAGAGAAGAGAAAAAACAGAGGGAAAGACTTCCAAGCGGAATAGAACCTAGGCAACACAGCTAAAAGGAAAGCAAGAAATTTGAAGAGCGCTGACAATGTGTTGCAAACCATTTACTAGATGATGGAAAGGCAGGTGGGTGGGTAAGGGGTAGAATTCAGGAGAATAAAAAACTACAACACAGGGCCGGCCCTGTGGCTTAGCGGTTAAGTGCACACGCTCCACTACTGGCGGCCTGGGTTCAGATCCCGGGCGCGCACCGACGCACCGCTTCTCCGGCCATGCTGAGGCGGCGCCCCACATACAGCAACTAGAAGGATGTGCAACTATGACACACAACTATCTACTGGGGCTTTGGGAGAAAAAAAGGAGGAGGATTGGCAATAGATGTTAGCTCAGAGCCGGTCTTCCTCAGCAAAAAGAGGAGGAGTAGCATGGATGTTAGCTCAGGGCTGATCTTCCTCACAAAAAAAAAAAACAAAAAAAAACTACAACACAGATACATTTACAATCCAGCAACTTTCCAAAAACATAGCAAACTCTAAGTCCCTCGGACAAAGTGAACTAGTATCAAAAGTTTTCAAATGGCAAAATGCAGTTCACCTACGACTACCCGTTTCTCAGATGCACTTGCCTAGCCTCATCCCACTGCGGAAGGGGCAGGGGCAGGGGCAGAGGCAGGCAGCTCTGAACTGCCCACCTCCCTACCCTCATAACTTTTCTGATGGCCACTGCCTCAGGTTTGTCTGTGGAGCCCCATTTTGTTATAAACTCAGGTATCTGTCAATTAAGTTTCCCAGGCATATTAACAGCCATGAAAGGTAATCACCTAAGAAATAACATGCATAAGACACAGAGGTAAACTAACTGCCAGGGTTCTAGCAGCTTCAGCGTAAGCCATTTGCATGGAAGCCACCTTAAGCTTTTCTTCACAGAGTCACTGGAAAAGTCACTTTATTGTGGAAATAAAGAGTTCCTGCAATTTTCTCCTTATCAAAATGGCCTAGATAGTCCTCAGGTGCTAACAGTTCTTTTCCATCTTCTTCCTCAATAGAGACATAAAGGGGTGGGGAGCGGCAGACAACCCCAGAGCAATCTGGCACCAACAACTAATAGGGCCACCTTCTAGAGACAAGGCAGTTGAGCCTGGGATGTTCATCTTATGTCAGGCTTACGTAACGAATGGAAAAAATTTTTTTTTCTGCACAAATGGTGCAAAACTCTCAGACTGTTGTCAGCTGGGTCTGTTGGCTTGGTTGCTGCTGCTCCTCCGCAGCAGTGAAACACTTACCTCCCATTGGGTGGAGGCTGCTCAGGGTGTTGAGGTTCCCAGAGGAGGCAGTCTGCTGAAGGAGCTGCAAATAAAGCTAGACATTACACCAAAAAACAGAACAAGAGTGAGAGTGAGGGCTGGTTCTGCATCTGGGATAACTCTACAGCACAGCAAAGCAAAGAGTGCAGAGGCCCCCAGAGAGAAGAAAGTTGAAGACAAGAACTCAAGCCAACACAACAGAAACATGAAGCTTGTGACAGCACAGGACAATACAACACAGCTAAAGCCCTAGCCCAGACGGCAGTTATGTTCACTGAGTACTGAGCCACGCTCAAGGCTGGGCAACAGAATGCAGCACAGCAGAAAACAGAATAGAGCAGGGAACTAAGCTCAACCCAAGCAGCTATGCAGTCCACTGTGATGAGTGTCTGCATATGAATGACTGCCATTTCTAGTTCCTCTCTCCCAAGATCTCCTTAGTCAGGTCCACACACCTTATTCTGCAGATTGTTTCCAGCTGGATGCTCAATTTCTACTTCACACAACTATTTTAAATATCAAATGTGACGATTTCAGGGTACTTCTTGGAGTCATCCTTTACTGGTCACAACTGACCCATGACTAGATCAGTCTCTCCCATGCTACACATCCAGCCCCATTCATCCCCTCCCCTCCACACTGGTCTTCACTGTTGCAGATGACCAAATGATTGACGGATCAGTCCATAACAGTTCAGTGTACATTCTTTTTCAATGACTGTCCCATAACAAATAAAACAAGAAGACCTGTCCATGAGCTTATGACCTCTATGACTTTACTCTGTACCTTAAAACTGCAACCTTCATCTAACCAACCTGCCGAAAACCTTTGCTCCACTCAAAAACCCAATCACTGTTCTTTATGGACAACCGGTATTCTTATCACTGGATCCTTTATTCAACCTGTTGCCCATCCCCATAAATATCTGACTTGGTTCCTCTGTCCTCATGAATCCCTTTAGCCCATAAGGATTTCAGGAAGTCCACAAACCTCCAGAGATAGAATGAAAAAATGCACATACACACAACTTTTACCAGCTTCTCAAAGACGTCGACAACCCCACAAAGATTAAGAACCACTGCTCTAGTCCAAGAGAGATCAGGTTCAAGTCCATATACTTCAGAAAGAACTTCATAATTAATGATGATATACTACCGCTTACACAGTCCATTAGCACCCACATGCCTTCATTTTTCTTCTTTTAAATCTCTGGGCAATGTGTTCACTCCCAACTAGTGGACTCTGCATACTGTACTTGGCACTTTCATTTCCTCCCTAAATGAAAACAGCTCTTAGGGTGGGGGTCACATCTCAGTGAAACAAAGAGACCATAGCTCTCCACATACACCATCATGTGCTTGCTGGATGTGACAACGACAACAAAAAGGGGAGTCTTCTCTAAAAAGGGCTCCAAAACTCTCTAAGAAAAGCGAATGAATATCACGGAGATTATTTTCAAAGTATTATCATTTTGGTAGAAGACTAAAATCTCCCTGAATTTTCTGAACTTATAAGCAATGTTCTAGCACTAAGAAACAATTTAATCTGTTGAAATGCAACAATCATCTACATTTTTTGACTTTAGAGAAATACCTGCTGGGAAACTGGGATTTCTTCTAAGATTTTAGAAATTTGGAGACCAGGGGACATTCAAAGTAGCTAAAACTCAGTACTAGCAGACAGAAATCACTGCCTTTCTTCTATTTCTACAAAGAATAATATTTTAAAGGATGAGGAGTGAAAGATTATAATCATTCCCATGTGTATAATTCTCAACGGTCCATACAAATCTAGTGGTTTCATCATTTATTTTCCTTCACTGGTAGCTTCACAGATGACCTGTTCTTGCTGATTTGCACATGAGTCAGTTTGAAGTGTCTTGTGCTGTCTGCAATTCTTTTACAGGGTAAAGCAGTGATAATCCCCTGTAATATATATTGCAGACGTAGTAAATCTAAAGAATGAATTGGAGCCTGGCAGCCTGGCCCTCTTTTGGACTATGTGACTCGAATTCAACAAGAGAGAGATCAAATTAAAGGAAATCTATTCACGATGTAGTGAACTCAACATACACCTGTAATATTAATTAATAATGTCCATGTTAATCTCTTGATCTCTCAGTCAGTGAAAAGAAACATTTACCATACTCTTCAGGGAAGACTCAACGAGGATTTTAATGATGTCTTCCGTATCTAGTAGAAAGAAATACGGAGAAAGATATTTGGTAGTTCAGATTCCCTCAGGAATTTTTTCTTGGGGGCAGGGACACATGAGATGTTTCTAAATCTTTGTATCAGGAAATCAGGATTTCGCTTTAATTGTAGCAGAAACCTCAATATATACATAACCAAAGCTGTGTGATGAAAGAGAGAGAGAGACAGACAGAGAGAGACTAACATGACTTAAAGAATATCGCATTGCTTGAATTTTTACCTAAAATTTCAATATGCTAAAAGTTGTAAATGTCATTGTGTCTGCTAGCTAGGGACAGTGAAGAAGAAACAGCTGGGAGCTTGCACAGTCTGCAGAAAGCAAACCACAAAGACTCACTGCTAAATACTGGGGTCCAAGAGTATTTAGACCGGCAAGGTTTCCCCACACAGATGCTGCGCTGATTTGCTGCATCTGCTGCTGGAGCTGCTGGGCCATTCTCTTCTGTTCTTTGTCCTTCTGTGTATCAGCAAATTTTACCACCATGGGGGATGAGCAGCCCTATGAAAACACCAAAATCAAACGGTCAAACTCTTCCTTCTGGGTGAAGGAAAAATCCTCCTTCATAGTGACAGGCAGAATGCATTCTAATTTCATTCACTGCGAAATGATTCTCTTCCTGACAGACAAGTGGCAAAAGACAATTTAAAAGGGCCACTACTTCCAATATGTTAATTTTAAAGAAAACATCCACTTTTAACTTGAAGATGTTTGGCCTGCTTAACTTTTAGGGCAATCAGATACTGTATATGCTGCTGGGCTTTGATGGCCAACTGTCCTAGCTAGCACTCTTAGGCTAAGGAATTCCCCCCTTTCATTCATCTGCTCCCTACCTCCATGGTCTGTGCTTGGTGCATTGCCTTGATAGCCGTCTGTGCCATGGCTCTTGTTGTAAAAGTCACAAATGCACAACCTGGTAAGAGAAGGGTCAATAACTCATTCACTCATTTGCTTATTTATTCATCTGACAGACACTTCCTGAGCACCTACTACGTGCCAAGGACTATGCTAGTGATACAGACACGGTTCCTGCCTTCAGGGGTTCACGATATAGGGGAAGAGACAGGTATGTTACAACAGGGTGATAAGGGCTTTAATGGAAAACCAGGGAAGCACAGACAGGAAAGAAAGTGCTTGAGGGATAAAGGAGGAATCATATCCTCCAGTTTCTCTTGAGAAGGAAGTGTTTCCATTTTGGTATCAACAACCTCTCCAAGCACAGAAGGAGAGAATTTTAATATATGACACTTAAGTGCAGAATGTAGACTCCTTAGGGAGGCTGGGAGAATATTAAAGGGATTAATCAGTAGGAGCCGCAACAGGACCTAGATATACAACACCAAGCCCAACCTCTCCATCACGACAGGGCCATGTTAGATAGGGATCACTGGTTTCCACTGGTCCAATTAAAAGAGACTCCCAATTTAAGACAAGTCTTCAAAGGGTAAAAATGTACCCACCTCGGCTCAGGCCATCAGGTCCCCGCAATATCCTGCATTCTTCAATCTGTCCAAATGAAGAGAACATGACTCGGATGTCATTTTCAGTGCACTTCTTGGAAATCATACCAATAAACAGCTTCCTGTCTTCCACTGCTAAGAGAGTAAAACAGAGAAGGTTTGAACATTATTACTACAAGGGTTAGTGTAGCACAGATTCTGGGTTTGAATATTGGCTCTTGGCCTTTATACCATATTTTGTGGATTCTAAGACACATTTTTTTCATAATCCCGCACCTCCTCTTACAATCAGTGGAATCTTAAAATTATAATTGGAAGCATTTAGATGAAATATAGTAGCTGTGTGATATTGTGAAAGTTACTTAACCATTCTATGCCTGTTTCTTCATCTGATTAATCGGGATACCCAGGTTTACCTCAAAGGTAGCTTTAGCTAAGGCAAAGTACTTAGCATCCTGCCTATCACTCAGTAATGTGTGCTTTTACTAGCAATATTACTATACTAAAGAAGGAAGAGTTTTCACACTAATATGACAAGAGAAACAGAACACATCTTTCAGTGAGTGTAACCGTCCACCTTCCACTTCTCATTATTCTCTTAGGACTAAGTTCTCCTTCCTAACTTGTTCATCTCTCCCCTCAGTCCTGTCCATAAGAAATTATACTGTTAAAAGATATTCCACTTCATTTTAAAATGTTCTTGTAATGTTTCCCTAGAAACTCTATTTAACTCATTTATTTACCATACTTATTTTAAAGAAAAAAACAATTTAGATGACAGATTACTTAGAGCACTGGACCACTACCTTATACCATACACAAAAATTAACTCAAAATTGGGGCCGGCGCCATGGCTTAGCGGTTAAGTGCACGCACTC